TTACTTGTATTTGTTATAAATTATTTACGAACTGAGACAACATGTTTGAACACTGCCATCGTTGTTGTTACTTCAGAGCGAGGCTCCGTATAACCCTGTCCGCTTCACAGCTGCGAATGTTCTCATTCATGAGATTGTTTTGAACAACTGTGATTAACGCCGATACAGTCTTAGTTATCAGTTATACAGCAACGTGGCTGTTTGTATTGAAAGTCAAATTTATGTGTGATTTATACCATGCTTATTTTGTTTTGTGTTGACATATTGTTTGCCAGTGATGTGTCAATAACCACGTGTATATCTTTCGTAGACGGGGAATTAGCTCAGATGGTAGAGCGCTCGCTTAGCATGTGAGAGGTACCGGGATCGATGCCCGGATTCTCCATTACATTTATTTTGAGATGTACCCACGTGTAGGTTGAAACTTATTTGGACAACTAGCCAAGGTGCAACACCGCAGTGCCAAAAATCATCCAGAATTATCTATGATCTGTATCATCGGGTATTGATATATCTACTACTTTTTATTGCTTTACCATTTTAGACCCTATTGAATTTTTAAGGAGTCTGCTGTATTTGTTTTTTCAAAAGAATGTTTTGCAATGTCAAATTCACCCAAAATCTGGTGAAAACAATTCACAGAGGTGCTATTGCTGTGCTGTGCTGTGCTGTGCTGTGCTGTGCTGTGCTGTGCTGTGCTGTGCTGTGCTGTGTTGTGCTGTGCTGTGCTTTCATCACCTAGCAACAAATTACTATGCAAATTGCCTTTTTTCAACCATTCAAAGACACAACCAAGTGCTGGGAAATTCTTTGGCTTACAGTATGGTTATAAACTAAGTTTGGTTTACTTTTTACACAAACAAAAACACTGCTACTTTAGCAAGCTACTACTATTCAGTAATTTTGAGGGAAGAAAATTTTCAAAATTCAAAAGCATGTCGGCTTTGTACTGTACCATTTTCCAACAGATATCTGTTTAAACAAACCGCATAGGATTGTGGGTAATCGCATGCATTGTGTGACGATTTTTCAGTGGTTTCAATTATTGTATTTCTGTACAGAGTATGTATACAATGTTATGGACGTTCAGATGGTTCAAACAAACTACCGATATGTTACTATGAATTTATTTATTTGCATTAGCAATGTAAACTCAATATTTAAAGGGCGGCGGTCGTCGCGCAGCGCGTGTTCGAATTTCACGTAAATAAACAATGTATTTTACATGCGCAGCTTACGTTGCTATGAGTCCTTTTAAAATCAGTGCAATTGCCCAATCAAAACTTGGTTAGATGCCACGAAGTAAGTGACAATGCCTTAACCGTATATGTGTTGAACACCGAGGGTGTATTCCGTATTCCGTCCTTGTCAAGAGGAGTGCTAACCTTCTCTCCTTTCATACAACACAATGTGTGAATGCTAATTTCTTGCTATATATGCATCATATTGTGCTGCAAATAACTAGATACGGTGAGCTAAAATAGTACAGTGGCTCATCAGCTATGTAAATCGAACAAGACTCTTAATTTCATACTTATTGCATTGTAATTCTTATTTTGGTATTTTTTACCTGAATTGATAGGTTTTGCGCCACAGCGCCATCAGTCAGCTTCCTTGTTAACGCAGCAAAACCAATCTCTGAATGAGTGAGTAATTGAGTAAATAAATAAATAAATAAATAAATAAATAAATAAATAAATAAATAAATAAATAAATAAATAAAGCAGCTCAGGCTGCAAGGTGTCATATTTTACTAATGACGTGCGCCGTGATCAGATACCTAATAAACATGATTTTTCTGGGTCTAAGCTCTAGCTGGCCGCGTATCGCAAACCTGATTCGGGAGCCGTTGGTTTGGTACATGGGGATACATGTCCGTGGTCAACCGTTCGTGAACTAAATACAGTAACTTAATACAGATTCAAAATCTAAAATCATATTTCGTAAATTAAAATTAAAAATCTAAGACACAAACAAATAATTTGCAATATTCCACACGGTGTTAGGCAGATCGAACTTCAGAGTAGACACGAGCCAGGGGTTCCTCAAAAAGTGGGTACATTCTGCTGAGCCGAAGCACAATAGTATTGCCTAGTAGCCCGGGGCGATCGCCTTGATTTGGAGTGTGAGTGCTTCGAAGCCAGTTAAAAACTGCCAATGGACCAAAAAATGTCAATATTGAGTGATCATTTTACCTGAAAAAAAATCTCCTCTATTTTGCGGAATTGACGAATATTGTAAGTCAAAAAGATCGGCATGACCGTAAAAATGGGGGAGGGGTCATAGTAGCGACACACACCCGGTCACTTTAACTATGGGAGGGCATCCCCGGGTCAAGTAGATCTCAAACGACACCGTCACTGTTTCAAACGCAAAGAGAACAGTTCGTCAAACTTAATAAAAAATAATCAAATTCTCTCCTAAGTACGACGTGTCATTTTTGTTTTTTGTATAAATGTCCTGAAATTATACCCTAATTAAAAAGGCGAAGGAAGCGGGGGTCTGAGGCATACTCCCCCTTAAAAATGTTGAAATCTAAACCCTCTGAAACGCTACTTTCTGAAGTTTGAGGGGCAAATTTTGCTGACACAAAGGATTCCAGCTTCATTTTAGGGAACGACGCCCCTAACATTTTTTCCAGGGGGCAACCCCCCCCCCCCCCCCCGTGCCGCCGCCGCCGCTGCAGACACGTGGTCGATGAAGACAATGTGTACTGCGCAATGAATTGTGCTTGACCTTTATACGGGACCATGTGATACTGACACTGTACTCTTATGATTCAACGCGCATGCCCACACACGCACTTATTGTGATGAATGCATCACGTGAGAGACTGATTACTAAATTGTCAGCTGACCGAACAACTGACATCATTGAGCTGAAAATAACCCGGAACAATACTAAAAGGGAAATTCCAGTGCCAAACTCACCGCACAAACTGTAGAACCGAATTTATATCACTCTGTTCTGAAATCGGCATGGGTAGGCTTAATTTACTGACACTGGTGGCATTCTCCGCATACCTGATCAATGGTAAGTATGAATGCTAACTTATTGCGCATTGGAAAATTAACCATAGTGCTGTCAGTGTAAATATACGAATGGTGTTGGGAGTTTAACTTGTACTAGTAAATTATTTTACTTTGTTCCTCTGCGGCAAACACGCAGACTGGTCGCGCTGAGCGTCGAAGCATGTCACTCACCGATCTTCCTCAAGTTATTTCGAATTCTCCTACTACTAGTACCCCGGCTGGACATTAGCGACTAAACAACTTCGCGATGTTTCCGATGTTTGTTTAAGTTGAGTATCGCTAACTGTTTAGCGACCATTGAACCACAGTCCTGTGTTGAGGGACTGTGACTGAACGAAGTTAGAGGTCAGTAAACAAAGTTAGCGATCAGTGAAAGAAAGCTACCACGTATTTTGTGTACAAAAAAATAAATTATAACTTTCCCAGTGCCACGCTGTGTTCATATGATTATTAGACAATAGAAATAAAAAAATAATCATACAGGTCACACGCTTATCAGCAGAACGCCATGAGTCACACTCCGACAAATAGATGCACTCATATGTATCTGCGACATGGGCACGCTGGTTTGATCTAATCGGGCAATAATCGCAAACGTACGCACTCATAAAAGTCACGTGTCACGAAAAACAGCTTTTGTTCTGCTACAAAACAACCTCGGTAAATGCAGATTAAATAAAGTGGCATCGTGATAAGAGTCTACGTCACTGTCCCATTTTATTTAGCCGATTATCTCGGTCAGTTCGTATTCTTCGCAGTTGATAACATGGACGCCATACTCGTCAGTGATAAACTATTGATTTAGACTTTTAGATCATTTTGGATAATGTCATAATTCGATAACAGATCCGATACAATTTCATTCCAAGTTTCTATTTAAGTTAACTTTTTTATTTTCGATTGTAAAGTTACTTCCTCTAAGTTGGTCTATTCTCTAAATAGATCGCAATGTCCGCTTATTTTCTCCAACTACTAGTAGTTTCATTGCGGAAGTTACGTCATGACAGACAATACACTTTCACTTCATATAATACATTGAATGTCTAATGTGTTTATTTGTGGCGGTTGAACAGAATTAGTTATGTTTCGTCACGCGTACGCACATTTGTTAATAGCTGGAAATTAACATCATAATCGTCACTATACGGAACAATTATACATACGCCACCCGGGATAAAATCCGCACCCAGAGTTATGGGGGAACCAGAATTGCAATTGCAATTGCATAGTATTGCAGAGAATGACATGGTGTGGAGTGTGTACACAGTCATCCTTAGATTGACAAACCTCATTGATGGTACTGAACTTAACTTACATAAAACCACAGTGCCTCTATCTGATAGAGGGACTGTGATAAAACGCTCACTGTAATAACGCAAGCGTTGCGGATTACGAAAAAAGGTTCCGGAGCATGCGCACTGTGTACACAATATCTCATTAATATTCCCACCTGGCTACCCCTACAAAATACATAAAGTATCCGGGTAATTTTCAACTTATATACTAGTAACATTATTTGCTTCGGCATTGTTCCTCTTTTAAATTATCGGCTTTCAGTGTTTTCGTTTTCGCGGTTCCTGTCTTGTTGGCACACCGTGATATTTACGAATAACCATTCGTACAGTACCATATGCATTGCTCTCGCTAACTTGAACTTGAACTTGCCTACTGCTAATGTGATTTTTTGTGAATAGTCTCCTGGCTCGTGAATAATCTTCTTGATAGTTTACTAAAAGCGTTTTTTTTCTCATTATTTTCTGATTATATATTACAGGGGTCTTGGCGTATAATTGCCCAAGTGACTATCCTTTTCCCAGTTGCCCGCGTCCCAACGTGACGTCAGACGAGGAAACAGACACAGTATGCTGCTACACCACTGATAGCGGATACCACTGCTGCGACGAGTCCTTAGCGTAAGTAGGTTTTCATGTTTCAAATATACATAAACAGGCTTTGCCACGCATTATAATGTTTTACACGTGTGTATGTATGTCAAGGGGAAACTGAAATGTTAGCTCACGTGTTTTACAATAATTCAGTGAAATACATTTTGTAAGACTTCATTAAAGGGCGGTGGTCGTGGCACAGCGCCGCGTTTTCGAATTTCATGTAAATAAACAACGTATTTTACACGCGTTGTATACGTTGCTATGAGTCCCATATCGAACAGGACGCGGCACGACGACTGTCGCCCTTTGATAAATTAGGGTTGACTTGCGAGATACATATGTATTTTTTTCCTTCTAATTATATGAACACAACCACACGTTTCGTGGCAATGTGAGTTTCAACTAAGCCCGCTTGTTGTAATGATAGAACGCTGACTTTACGCTGACTTTTTGTGGGATGTGCGTAACGCCATTCAACGTGGTTTTTGAAAACCTGTTCTGTATTCGAGACCTTAAACGGACTCGCTTTCATATATACAACTCACTTCCTTGTGACAGGTGTACCTCGACACTAGAGGGCGTACATTATTGGAACGTTATATAGCTATTATGCAATATTATTAATAATAATAGTACGCAATTCTTCAACAGCAATGTTATGGTGTGGCACTGGTGACTGACTATTGCGTTAGCATTTTAGTGCAGCCCAGGGAGTTCCAGAGATAAAATGAACTAACCCTGGCTATATATTCTGTGTACAAATGGGACTTTTTTTCGTACTGAAATGAGAGTCTTTCTCCAATATTTTGAGCCGGTGACCCGCCTTTTCGGCCATATGTATTACCTCAACACGAAAAATATGGCGTCAGATGAACTCACGCTGTCATTTACTATCGTTATATTTTACAGAATATGGGCCATAGTCGTCATCGTAATCGCCTGCTTACTAGCTGTTGCTCTCATCTGTGGTATATGCGCATGTTGCTGTGGCTTCTGCGCATGCATGGGTAACTATTGCCAACGGTCAAATTACCAATCGGTCTAGAGAGATGACATCACACAGCTGGAGCTGTGGTACAAACGACAGAGGGCGCACCGTCAAGGACCAACGATATAACATCGAAAGTATATATTGTATTTAGAAAGTAAACTTTTTCAGACAGCATAGATGAATATTTCAAAATGTTGAAATTTGTAAATAAGTAAATTATATATAATTTTTTTTTACCAAATTATTATGTGATGTTTTTTGTTAATTCATGGCAATGCGTGAATATAAGTCTTGTCCCACCATTTGTTAAACTTGGAAACACTTGTTTCATTATAAGCCCTGGTTCGTCTTTTCTTCTCGCATTATCCCAGATTGTTCGGCGTGAGTTACTGCGCCCAACCGATGGATCACTGAATTGAATTGAAATAAATATGTCGCCTTGATCAGTCTCGCAGAGAGCAAGAAAGCAACGATACTTCCCCGACTGTGTTGTACTTTCTTTTGACAACTTTGACTATCGACGTAGAAAGTTACTAGGATTTCAGGATTTCTCATTGCAGTCTGATTGTTGGCACTTGCGACGTTTTAATTCAGGTGGGTGACCAAAAATAAGTCACATGATTCTGCTACTATCATTCAAATCCATTAACAAACCCTCTCTAAATTTGCTAATCAACAGCGCCACCAACGCCGCTAAATCGACATAAGTCTGGTATTAGTTGTCCCCCATTGCATCAACATTTTATGAAGTATTTTAATCAGCTGCTAAAATGAATACTTCCGTTTTTGAACACTTGCCACAGCATTTCTTAGGTATTACAATTACGCATTTTCGGCTCATGAAGTCATTTCTTAAGTTAAGCCATGATCTGAAAACCGGTGGCGCGGCGGTGGCGATGGCGATAGCGTTGTTTATGCAGAATTGCTGTTCAAATGTCCCTATGGTATGATTTAATAGATGGTATTTAAATTCTGCTACTAATCTGCATCTAAGCTTGGATTTAAAAGACTACAAGTAAGAGCATCGCTCTCATTAAGTATTTGATGTCTGGTCCTAATTACTGCACATGTCGTTTTGATTTTAACAAATTCATTTTAACAGTGGCTTGCGTTTCATTTACTAGTAATTTCTCATGGACAAATGTATCCTTTTTTCAGATCAATTATCTCGTTGTATGGATCATGTTTAATATTTCTGTTCTTACACATCTTTGTTTTGTCAACTCTTTTTATTATTTTTCCGACGTCCCACAATGTCTGCAAGGATCTGAAACGTTACCATGGGAACCAGTATTCAGACAGTACAAAATTCTTCACCGTGTAGTAGACTGCAGTTGAAAGACATAATTACGATTACTTATAGGTGATAATAACAATTTGAGATTGACAGGAGAATGATCTGAGAAATGAACAGTTTGGTTTTATGAAAGAATGTTTAATTCTAGTGAACATAGATTTTGAAATATACAACATGACCTAGTTGTGACCTGGGATGATTACGCGACCAGGAGAACTGTTTCAATATTAGTTGCTGGGTTACAATGACGTACGAACCAGTGAGTTTGAAGAGTCTTGTGATGCTGAAGAGCAGAGCCGACGAGCGAGAATATGGTTCATGATTATTTTTAACAGAGGCGGCGTCACGAAATGTTGCGTTGGGAGGGGGTCTCCTCGCCATTCCTTGCGCCCCATAGGCGCAATTGGGGCGCGCATTTTTCGGGGGGGGGGCGATCGCCCGGTGCCGCTGCCACTGTTCAAGGTGTAGTTGGAATTACCTTTCATTATGATAGAGAGCTGAAAACACACACTCTCCGCAGCACCATTGTCGGAATAAAGACATTAACTAAATGAAAGCGAGCATCATCAACCTCAATATGTAGAAGCAGCAGGAGACGACCAGGTAGGGCATCAGCAGTACTAAGGGTAGGGTAAGCGGTATTCTCCGGAGTTCCGGTGATTCCGACGGAATCTGTAAAGTCCGGAATATTTCAAATTTGTTATCGAAATAATAAAAAAGATAAATATTTACTTAAAGTACAGTGTGATGACCTTTATAATATTATACATGTGCTTCATAATGCAAAACACCCGTCACGGTGAGATATTTAAATATACGACTCATAATCGGGAAATATGACCACAGTCAATTTCAGACGGGTATTAAGCAACTTAATAACATATCAAGAGGATTCACTCTAAAATATAAAAAAAAACTGCAGTCAAAATTCCAGAATGCCAGCAAATAAAAAAAGTTGGGAGCTATCAGAAATGTACGATGCAAACGATTCAACATCCTCCACCTAAACCACCAAGGATCGACAAGTACAAACCTCTGATCAAACAAATCGATGACCTGCTGATCAGCCCGCGAAACCCCAGAACAAGATGACTTTGTATCCACAATAGACGTGGGAACAGAGGGAAGAGTTAGTATCCTCTTCTTATCAACAGAAACATTTATTAGTGCATCAGAGATTGAGACATTGCTAGTTCCAGTTGTTTTGTGTGTACTATTTTGGACAAGATCATTAGCACCATAATCAGATTCACATGCACGACTATGTTGTGTGATGTTTCGTTTATTTCCATCCATATTATTGCTTGTATCAGTGATATTATTTATTTTCACAGCTTTATCATTTACAGACGTGTGCTGTAAGTATTGTCACTGAGAATAGTTAGTTTGCACATCCATGCATTCAGTTTCGTTTTTACAGATGATGATGATCAGTATTCTATCAGCACCTAGAATGGGTTTCTAAGATGTCCCACATTTATTTTCTGCTCTTGTGAACTCCATTGCAGTTTTAGTGTTTTGCTATTTTGTTATTTCCGGTTGAGCTTTTTGTAACATTGACTCTCATGGCAGGTGATTTTGTCTGTACTATAATAATTCCCATATACACTCTCCACGAGCTTGATGTTCATTACTCCTCCCAGGTTATCGTTCACCATCAAGTTTACTAGCTTTCGAAGGAATTCACATGTCTCATTGCAGGGTGTTTACATCCTAGCCGTACGAATCACACAACTCATGTTTAGAAACTTCATTCTGTAGCACAGTATTTGAGTTAAAAGTGGTATACCCAACAAAATAACCAGAGGCTCAGCTACAGAACTCTCACTGGACGGGGCGTTCTTGCACTGCTAAAATGGAGTAGACAAGACAATAGTACTGGAAATGAAGTACACATACACCAAGATATCAAGTTAAAACTCCTGGCTTTAATACCTCTCAAAATAATTACAAGAAACAAAGCACAGACTAATACAATGCGTGAATTCACTAAAATAGGGGATTGTTTAGGGAAGTGTGCATTGTTGATAACTCACAGTTCCAAGATGTGGATGATGATAGTTAATGGCTTCTGCAACACAACAACAAAGATATACATGAGTATTGTTTGCAGAGGAACGCTGTTATTCTGCTGGGCACCGCTGATAGCAGGAGATCGCAGAGCAGTTTATACAAGTCTCACATAATGATGATTGAAGCCTACATCACTTGTCTCACAATATCGCAGCAGCAACACACAGCGTACTCAATTGAAATGGTGGTCCACAGCTGTCCTCAATCTAGCCTATGTATTGAGAATATATGGCCCAGTTTCATGTACACCACCTGGGTTTCCACAGGAGCCAATCAGAACGATTCCATGCACACTTCTATTTGCAGGGTTTGAGGTAATATAAAAAAGATATAATAAAGGATGCTGACAAGGTTACTAGTTTCAACTGAGGAAATAAAAGGAGGATACTAGAGTACAAAAACAAAAACAACAGCCATGTTGCCACTCAACGGAATACCGTGGTCTTTTCCGTTTTATTATGCACGCATGCGCAAGTGAAAACAAAACTCAAAACCTCCATAATATCAGAAGCACGTTCACGTATGCTTCAGATTCCAAACGAATTATATATGTTCGCGGGTCAAACCAACAGATGAATTGACGAGGGGAGACAACTACATCTGTATACTTTTTTTCAGGATAAAACGCAAATAACAAATCCCATAACATGGTACGTACAATAAAAATCACTGCGCATGTGCATTTTTGGATTTCAGTTTTCATCGTAGAAATAAAGTTATTATGTGCTACAAAATGAATTTATCATAATTGGAGTAACTATATTGCCTTGGTTTAAATCGAATCCACTACATGTGATGTCGATTGCTAAATATCTATTGGAATGTGATAATATGAACTATAATCATTTTCTTGAACCAAATTCTTTAGGAAATATAGCTACAATTACACGTTGAATATTATAATGGTGAAGTCGATATGTGGAAAAGTAAGTGAGTATGTGGTTAATGTGTTT